AACGTCGCTCTTTGATAGCTAACATTGTCTATTTAACATCACAATAATTCAGTATTAGACCTATAGTTGTTTTTTGAATTGTACTCCACAAATCTCAGCCGATACCTCGCATAACTCGTAACGTCTCGTATCTATTGTTGTGATGTCATGGCTCGCTGGCTTACACTCATTTAACCTCCTTGCTCACACACTTGTGATGTCTCGCACTTGTGATCAAATAACACGCTGGCTCGCACTTTGGCAGTCAACTCGCCCCTAGAAAACCCGCCCTTGGAAACTTGCCCCATAAAAAAATGTACACTTCCTAGACCATGCAGTCTTCAAAATAAAAATTGTAACCTTTGGTAATTAACTACATTTTCCACATACAGGTACATAGAAATTTTTGAAACTTTATTAAAAAAAACCTAAACCATAATTCACCACTATAGAGACTTTTTGACAAAAATGAAAAATTACGACTTTGTTACCCAATGAGAAGTGTTCTAATATAGACAATGGGTCATGTCTCATATTATTTGTTATATTTTTATTATTCATTATTTTCACTTGACTCGTTCGAAGAACATTAATATGCAGTTGTACTTCGCAGCACTTCACTTGCAATTTGCAATTTCTAGTCTCTAATTATTTTTTGTTTTTCCTTTTTTTAGTATGCTTGGTTTGAGTCTCTCTAACTTCATTGTTAAACATTGAGGGCGCTATATTAATTGCTTATTTGGGATATATTTTTAGTTACACATTAGGCAAGATATATGTTTCATGGGACACTTATTTTCTATCAATTTAATGTAATTGAATGTTCACCTGTTCCTGTGAACGTTGAATTTTTATGCACATTGAATGTTAATTGCAAAATGTCCTTGCTTATTGACAAATAATAATAGCAAGTAACTTTTTCAAAAATAACTTTGCGTCTCTTCAATTATAACATTGGTGAAAATGAAAGTCAGTGCTTGTAGAGACAAATATGTAGTGAAAAAAATAAGTTGCACTATTTTAAAATTCTACCTAAAAGTAAATCTGCACTTTAAATGTTCCTCCATAAATTAGTTTTTGTTGATTATTTTGATATGAAAATACAGTATTTGTGTATAAGACAGCTATTTGTTATTGTTTTTATGTTTTACCATCATTAAAAAAATATTTGTATGGTAAATTAAATCTACAGTATTGTGATTAAAAGTTTCATTTTGAAAATAAATATATTTTAAGCCTTATCCAGATTATCAAATATCTTTGACAAAAAAACTGTTGTACCTATATGCCCATATATAGTCATGATTTGTCTATATATGGTCATGATGTGATGTCATCATGACCATATTTAGGCATGTCACATGTTTTTGATAGTGTGAACAGGGCCATAGCATTATTTGCTTTCAGGTGAATACTGGAGAATGGTCAGCATCATAATTACGATTCATATTATTTACAACCATTATTATGATATGTATGCTATTATATGACATTCATTAATTTTGTTATTAATAGGTATCATTATGGCTTTTGATCTTAATAAGACAGGAAGATATTCTCAATAATTCATAATTTGATTGGGAAGTAAGCTAATGTAATGTCCTTTGCTTCATTTTTCATATTAATTACTCGCAGTATTGAACTATAAACAATAGAAAAATAAAAATTCATTACTTGAATTGATTATTTTGTATTTAAAGTAAATTACCATATTGGCTTTCAATTAAAAAAAAACAAGAAAATGTTATTCTTTCTAATAATGAATAGATGCATAATACTGATCCCTCTTTTGCATAGAACATTTGCTGATGATTAATTTGTGGAATTTTTTGTACCTGTAGTGTAAAGCCGGTAAAGTTGATAAATAAATTGCTTAAATTTATGACTCATTGGTTATTGATATCTTACCTGATCTCTTGCATGATCTACTGTATTCCATATTTTAATTGATATTTGAGGAGTTTTTTCACATTTCTTCACCACAGACAGTTAGTTTAGAATTAATAAGTTGTTTACTGTAGTTGCCATAGGACACTTCTAATGTTTTTATATACAGTATTTATCAAGCTTCCCCCTCTCCCCTCCCACCCACCATCAATGGGGCTTCACCAGGTGCATTATTCATCATTTATTAAACATTTACAGTCTGTGGTAATACAATTAATTGAAGCAAATGAGTTGATCATTTTAGATCAAAATAGTTTATCAACTTCAGAGACTGATTAAAACATGTTTTATTTGATTATCTTTTATCGGAAAGTCCTTAGATGAACTGACAGCTAAAAAGCAGTATAATTAAAGTATTGTACAACTTACAGTAGGCCTATAGCTTTAGTTGCTTTGATTTTTAAAAACTACATAATAGTTAGTTTTTTATTCAGATGGGTGAAACAAAATATGAAATATTTTAAGTAGAAATTTGAATTCAAATGAGATTGACTGTATTTTCACACCGTGTGTACATTTGTTAATCAGGTCAGGTACAAATACAATAGGTAAGATATACAGTGTACTGTAATTTATTCATCATTCATCATATAAAAATGTGCATAAAATTCCTTTACCTTTACCTTGTTTTAAATAGTCCTATATGACATCTATAGTTTAGATAGAATTTATAATATTGATAATTATTTGCTGATAAAATTATACTCTATTTATCTGTTGAGCAGTAGAATTTTAAAAAAATAATTTGATGTTTAGAAAGTAAGAAAATTTGTTGTACATTGATTAACAATAAACATTGGCTCCATGAAAATCTCTGTGCAAATGCAATCATGTTTCCTAAAACAGAAGTTTGGTGTTTTTATTTTATTGGGTGAAAATATCCGCAGACTCTTAAAAAGTTTGGAAATTTTATCGATAATTCAGGATGACAAGAGGGTACCCCAAATGTCCAATTCTCCCGACTATCTCGTCACTAGCTTCATTCTTGAACTTGGCATAGAGAAGCAACTAAGAAAGGAAACGTTAATCAATTTAGAGAAAGTGGAAGCTAACTCATGAACTTGCTGGTATTAGAATGAAAAGCTGAGTAGTTGAGAAATAGAGGGCAACAAATGGAAGACATTATATTGATGGCACAATCAGAAAATGTCAAAGATTTGTATTTGATTGATTTAGATGAAAACATTAACATACTGTAAAATAATTTGTTCAAAAGCTAATTATGAAAATGTCTAATTACCTAAATTAAATATTTAAAATGTAATATTGAAAATTAGTAACTCTTAACAATAGACACATCATAGTTGTCATACTACATCACAATATAGCTAATTGCAAATTTCAGAATCTGACAATCTTATTCTATATATGGAGCATCTGTATAGAGATAGTAAACATGCACTAAATCTCTACTGAATTTTCTACTATAGATTTACAATTCCTGCATTAAAATAAAGAAAAACAAAACACTGACTCTGATTCTTTTTATGTAAAATTTATGAATTTTATCTGTACTAGTAGAAAAATTCTTGATCTTGATTTAATAAAGCCAGTGAAATCATGTAAGCAGAGAAAATTTTAACATATTTTGTTTCAGTAGCTAGAATACTGTAGGTTGTTAATGTTGCATCATCTGGTCCGATGTACCTCATAGTTACAAAAAACAACATAAAACATTGAAATGGGAATAAAGCCAATATTAGCCATACAGTACATATGTAATTTGGCATTCAGTGAATATTATTATATGCCGATGATGAATTACAGTATGGATTGCTCTTAGCTGCTGAGATATTGTTTGTAGAGTGTGCAATGATGGATATAATATGCAGCTCTGGTTAATAATATCAGCTGTGATGGAGAAATTATAATTAGTAGTTCGAAGGGAGAAAGGAAAAATTGCTAGTAACATCTCTAGTCATTAATTGAGGCGAGCGAAGCATTTCTTTGTTGCCGTAAAGAGGGGTTAATGTGTGCGATGGACTGTTCTGTAAATTCTCTCATTTACTGGTAAGGTCTGTAAAACTCAGCTTTTTTATCCTTATTGCTTTAATACTACATTACTTCAATTGTGACATAAGTGATGATCAGTTTTTTAAGGACTGTTTTGACAGGTTTTGTCTCTATTCTATCAAGTCAAATTCTGTAGGCCTGTGGCTTTGGAAATTTATTCCTATTTGAAAAATCAAGGAGAGATTGATGGATTGATGGTGCATTAAAGTAATAGTTGGCTTTGATGAGGTTGTACAGAATGCAAGTTCTCAATCTTGGTACTGTATTCGCCATTAAAAATAAGTGAAGATTCTACTGTTGAAATTTATAATTTTGTCAATGCAAACTACTGCACTCTTTATTTAGCAATTCAAAGAGATGAGTAATTTTTCTTTGCACAAATTGGATCTTATTCTTGTGCAAAGCAATGAGTCTAATTAATGGTGTAGTAACAAACAGATTTTACACACTTGTCATTCAACTTGTGACTGTGCCACTGAAGATGTCTTGTCCTTTTATTCTTTTAGGATGGAACCAGTAGAGAACTCTTCCTCAGACAGCCCTCTTGGGACTAGAAGCCTTTTTGATTCACACCGTCTTGGTAAGTCTAACTTCTTATCTCCTACTTTAAAAAACTTCATATTTTTATTTTATTATACTGTAATATTTTATAAATTTTATGTAAATTTGTTTTTTAAAATAGAAATTGCTGATACTAAAATTGTCATTATTTAAAGCATGTAGTCCATGTGGTAGTACTTGTCTCTTGGACTATCGGTACAACAATATTCTCAATTATGTTGTGTTTAGGTACTGCTAATGGTATAGGGACAGTAGTTGAGTTTTGGTACTATTAGTTATAAATTGAAACATGATGGGGCTTTAGTCGGTGTGGAACCTGGCCCATCTGTCGGGAAATGACAGACCACTTGTCAGTGAAAAGCTGGTGACACCCCTGCACAGTTAAAACTTATTGGCTCTATTGTCTGATGATTATTGTTAATTCTAGTCACATGATAATCAATCAGGTGACCAGTTAAAGACAATAAAGTCCAGTCACATGACTGTTGGTCAGGTGACTATCCCAGGTCAGGTTAATGGTAGTATGGAAACTGTAAGATGTAGTAGTTGTGTAGTAAAGTGAATGTAATAATGGACAAAATGTAACTGAACATGTATCACCCTTGTGTATAATATGTTTGGTTTTAGAAAATTAAAAGTTAATGTTTTTTTACAATTGGAGTAATCTTTTTTTTTTAATTCATACAATTGTCATTTTGTCTTTAAATGAAAAGTAAAATTCTAAATATACCTTGCTTACATTTTAAATAAAATTATTAACTATTAGCAATAAAATAAATATATAAACATACAGACATAAATCTATATTTGATTAGGTTTGAGTTTATTCAGAACTACTACAAGAGCAAAACAAATGATAACAAAGTACTGTATGCATATTACAAAAAAACACTTCCATGGATATTAAACCCAAAAAAGCCAAGAAATATCATTTCAGGTTTTTTCCATTGGAGTCTATTTACCAAACGACAATAAACAGCAGTACATGAAACATATAAAATCCTATTAGTAGTAAACAGATAGTATTTAGATTTTCAAAATAATTTATGATAAAAAAAAACACTTTAATAGAAGTGCAACAATTACATGTAAAATCCAAAGGTAAAACAGTTTTCTTTTAAATCATTAAATACTAATCCTGTTGTTCTTTGCAAGATCTAAATTTTCTGGTATTTTATTGCAAAGAGTCAACAAATCAGGAAACCCTAATTGTTTTTGTTTTTTTCTCACTGCATTTAAAGGATTTTTTTTTCAGATTTCACTATGAATTAACACTAATTGAGAAAGAATGATTGATGAATTTGGTTAAATAACTTCTTGTCAGAGTACTGTACCCTTTGAACTATATGGATGTTTTAATTTTAAGAGCCTTGTGATGTAATTTGGATTTGGTTGGATATCTGTCCAGTTTACGTACTTATTTCATTCAAATTCATTAAAACACTTGCATACGGTGGATTAACTTTGCAAACTTGCTGAGTATAATTTTCATAAAGCATGATAATTAATGAGCTGCATCTGCAATTTTCATAGTGGTTTTACAGAAAGGTCTTGAGATATTAGGCGATAGTATACTATATAAAGAGCAACATATTTATGATGTCAATGTGAAATTATGAACATCTACTGAATGTTATGCTGAAACCTCTTCTTCTCGACACTGGTGTCTATTTAAAATATTAATTAATTTTCATATGAAATGTTCCACTTGCTTATAGTATAGGCTCACTCTACTTTTTAAAGAAATTTGGAACAGAAATTCTAAATTACTGTGTAAAATAATATAATATGTGAATAAATTGAATTATTGTATGTTAGTTACATTTATTGTATTGTTATTTGAAATCTACTATTCAATCAATTTAAGATGCAACAAATTTAATGGCATATCTTAAATTGATTTTTTTTTTTTTTTTCAATCATAAAAACTTTTTACTGTACCTGTCTTAAGCTCATTATTACTTTTATTAACCCAGGGTAAGTTTATAACAGTTTATTCAGATAAAATATCAATAATAACAGAAACAAAAGAAGGATTCATAACTGAGCAAGACCATTAAAAAACAAAAAGCAGAGAAGATAGACATGGATGGCTATAATTGCATATTACTGTACATAATTCAACTTGATTGCATAACATAAATAATAATGTAAATTTTGTAAATTTATGCACTACCGGTAATATTTCACTATGTTACACATACTGCAGCTAAATGTTTACTTTGAATTACAAGTGAACTTTTTACTTTGTAGTTATAAAATAGAGTAAAAGAAAGAGAATGAGTATGTAGCATTCAGCTTGGAACAATTACTGTAAACTATTACGTCTTAAAAAAGGTACCTTTCAGGCAGATGATGTGCAAGTATAGTAGATGCTACTTTCATACCATTTAACCGAAAAGTTGCAAGATTATTAGCATTATTTTTTTCATGGGATCCAGATAATAGTTTCGTTGCATAGCTACTAGCAGTTATTTACAAATTTTAACCCTGAGATAATTCTACAGAACACTCCTCAAGTGCTAAGAATTTTTTTGGTATCTGAGACATAGCTTGCTCTCACTAGCAATTTAACCAGCAGTCAAACTTCAGTAGGCCTACTGCTTGCACGTTTTTATTCCTGTACAAGCCCAACCCCAATCTCATGTTCAAAGGCTATAATACAGTTAGTTTCATAATTATTGTTCATAATTGATAGCTATTTGCACTAGAGTTAATAATATTTCTGTGGAATTTAGATTTGCATTGAGTCAAGCTTCTACCAAACTGAGCATTAAATCAGGAATTTTATGTATTATCCCTTTATAATGTGCAACAGCTGGTATTAATAGGCCCATGTTTGTTATTACATTTAAAGGAAGATTATTTAGCATCTAATCAAGTTGCCACTATATGAATAGTCTGCATTGTATCATGAATTTTATGTGATTACACAAACGTAAACATTTTTATAAAAATTTACAAAACATATCATATTATTAAAAATAAATGTTTGTTTAAAATTAGGTTTAGAAAATTATTAACTAATAAACTCTTTTTATAGCTTAGTTTTTTTTTTCTATGATATTGATGTATTAAGTGCCTATGGTGATTTTAGCACTGTTCTTCAATAAGCACCCACCCACCCAAGAAGCATGATTTTCAATTAGTATTTCTAGGTGCTAAGTACAGTATAACTAGTGGGGAACTTATTCTGATAGTGGTTTTAATACCCTTTATTGCTTTGTTGATAAGAAAATGCAGAATATGGTACCACTGAGGTAAATACAACTTGTTTGTCCATGTTTTCGTAGATATGGGATGCATTTAATGTGAAATGTAATGAGTGATGATAAAAGTTTAGATGACAATAAATAGTCCTTAAAATTTGCTACAGTACTTTTTTGAGAGTGAATAAATGTTTTGAATCTTGCATCTACTTGCCATCTGAACTTCATTCATGGATAAATGTTGAAGTGTTTAATGTGGTTTTTTTTTAGACTTTGTAATTTTAGAGAGAGTTCATTTATATATTCCTTTTGAAATCGTTCTGTGTTATTGTTAATATTACTACTTTTAAAAACTAAAATATAAAAGTCATGTTATCATTCAAGCACAAGCGTATTATTCTTAGTACAGTAAATATCAGAAATACATCGTAAAAACATACAAATAATAAACTTTATCTACCTATAACTATAGAATTTTTATTAGTAATGTGAATTTTGTAACAAAATTGAAGTTTGCCTACTATGTTGTTTTTTTGCTATGTAATGACCATAAGGAAGACTTTTTATTTTTCTGTTTTATGCATTGAAGGTCATATTTTTAATGTGGTTAAGCCATTATTAACTAATTAGATAAAAATATAACACAATTTATCACAATTTACTACAGTTACCTGTGGTTTTTGTAATGTTAATATTATGTTACATGACAATAAAGTAGTACTGTAGTTGTGGTACTTAGTTTTTCCACAAGATATGAATTATTTGCAGTGGATATTTTTTTAATTATTATTCACAAAGGTTTTCAAAAAGAAAAGTTAGGTTTTATTGTACTGACTTCCTAACCTGTGAATTGTTTTTGTATTAATTTTAAGAGCAATTTTGATTTATATAGTACTTCAGTGTTACAATGTATTGTGTGGTTTTTATTTTTTACCCACAGGTATATACATACAAGTATTTTGGACCTAAAGTCCGGAAGGTTGTTTTTCTTCAAATCTAATTTGCTTTTGTTAAACAACAAAGAAACTTTCCAAATATGGATGATTAATAAAAGACTTGGAAATTAAATGCTTTGTACTATAGTATAGTAGCCACAGATTGCACCTGGTAAGGTCAGAGAAAGTTCAAGAAATAAGCTTAGCTAGGATATCTGTTTTGGTGTTTAAAATGTGATTGGATGTCTCTATGCCCACTTGTGTTTTTTCTCCATTGTTGAGACTATAGGATAGGCCTACATTGTTGAAAGGATGATTCTATTATAGAAATCTATTCAGATATGTGCTGCCATTTTCTTATATACACATTGTGTTTTCTTCAGTGCAAGGATCATTTTGGACTATACCATTATCATGCTGAAAAGGAATGATAACACATTGTGGTTATAATAACAATATCTGTGTGTATATGTGTTTTGTTCCCTGATTACGTTTGCTTAGCACATGACTCACCTTGGTATAGTTAGTCTGGAAAGCAATGATATTTCTCACTAAAATCATTCTCGTATTGGATGTAATTTGCAAGTGGTACTAACATTAATGTTCATGTATTAACAACAGGAACAACACTGTGGTAGAGTCCAAAGGTAAGATAAAAACGCAAGTGCCTTTACTTTATCAGGAGACAGTTTCACTATGTCACCTTAGCATTCCCTCTTTGTGTTAAAACAACAAAGAATTTCAATATTGAATGTACTGTATACAGTAATTGTTTTTAGTATAGCCGTGGTCCTGTAGGTCCATGGTATAGCTAGCTTAAAAAGGACTTTGGCATTGATATTTCATGGGGAAACTGTATTAATTTTTAGAATTTT